TTTTGAATAATGAAACTTCGGTCCTCATTTTTAAATTGTGATGTTTAAATCCCTGGTATGTAATTTCCACTTTTTTTAGGAAAATTTGCAAGACCAATGAGCTCAACATAAACTGACTCATGAAGTAGCTCGGCCCATGGCTCATTTTACAGTGAGCTTAGTTTTTCATGGATCGAGTCGAGCCCTACACAAACCATTTGCCACCCCCACCTTAGGCCATATTCAGTGCTGCACCAAATCTCGCACAAAACTAAAATTTATCTCAACCATTAAATCAAAACTTACACCAAATGACCAGTGTTTAACCATTTTCTTCCATTTTTTTATTCTTTATAATTTATTTATTTGAAATATTATTTCCTTAATTATTTTATAAATGGGTTAATTTTACAAACGGTCATTGAATTTACAGAAAAATTACAAAACTGTCACTGAAGTTTAAAAGTTTTAGTAACTCTCATTTAAGAATTGGGACGCTTTCAAAAATGATCACTGAAGTTTAAAAACTTTCAAAAACGATCACTGAAGTTTAAAAATTTTTGAGCTATTTTTGCGGCAATTTTTCGACCACTTCCGACCACCGAAACCACCGGATTTTAATATTGTTGAAAAGTCTACAATGTCCTCTTCAATTCCAATAAAATATCTCCCTCAAACTCCAAAGGATTCAGTTGGAATAAACCTACAAAGTTGGCTACTCGAAAAAGCGAAAATCTGCCTGGATTTTCAGATTTTTGGGGGACATTTGCGGCGATTTTTTGACAACTTCCGACCACCAAAATAGCCGAATTTTGATACCGTTGGAAAGTCCACAACGTCCTCTTTAATTAGCATAAAAAATATCCCCCAAATTCCGAAGGATTCGACCGGAATAAACTCACAAAGTCGGCATCCCAAAAAGGTAAAAATCTGGACAGATTCGGGATGTCAACTTTGTGGGTTTATTCTGACCAAATCCTTTGGATTTATGGGGAGATTTTGGGTGGAAATTGAAGAGGAGATTTTGGGCTTCCAATGGTATCGAAATCCTGCGGTCTTGGTGATCAGAAGTTTCCGAAAAGTTGCTGCAAAAGTCGCCAAAAAAACTGAAAAATCTAGGCAGATTTTCACCTTTTTCAAGTAGCCGACTTTGTGGGGTTATTCCGATCGAATCCTTTGCAGTTTTGGGGAGATTTTTTGTTGAATTGAAAAGGAAATTGTACGCTTTCCAACGGTATCAAAATCATGTGGTATCGGTGGTCGGAAGTGGTCGAAAAATTGCCGCAAAAGTCGCTCTAAAAATCTAAAAAATCTTCCCAGATTTTCGTCTTTTTAGGATGCCGACTTTGTGGGTTTATTCCGGCTCAATCCTTTGGAGTTTGAGGGAGATTTTAGATGGTAATTGAAGAGCACATTGTGGGTTTTCCAACGATATCAAAATTTGACAGTCTTGATAGTCGAAAGTTTTCGAAAAATCGCTGTAAAATTCGCCCAAAAATCTAAAAATCTGGGAAGATTCTCAGATTTTTTGAGGTGATTTTTGCGGCGATTTTCCGGTCGAATCCCTTGGAGTGATGGAGAGATTTTGGGTGGTAATTGAAGAGGATATCGTGATCTTTCCAACGGTATCAAAATTCGATGGTATCGGTGGTTGGAAGTAACCGAAAAATTGCCTCAAAAGTAACAAAAAAAACTAAAAAAGTGTTTTTCAACTTCAGTGACCGTTTCTGAAACTATTTAAACTTTGGTGACCGTTTTTGAAAGTTTTTAAAATTTAGTGACCATTTTTGAAAGCGTCTCAATACTTAAGTGACCGTTACTGAAAGTTTTAAACTTTAGTGACCGTTTTGTAATTTTTCTATAAGTTCAGTGACCGTTTGCGAAATTAGCCCTTTTATAAATATATAAATTACTAAATAAATAATTACGTTAAATTACGAAAAAGATTTAATTCATTGATAAATATAAAAAACATAGTACAATTAATAAAAATACAACAACAACGAAAATATTAAATCATACCATCAAAAAATAGTAGATTATCACATGTATGTCGTTGTTTACTAAACTATGCACTTTTTATGTATCGTTTTGTTTAAATAAAATTAGATTATCATATGTATGTCATCGTTTAATATATTTCGTGTTAATTTTAATAAATAATCGTGTTTGTTATATTTTAATTTTTTTCTTTTTTTAATTAATTCATTAATTATTACTTCTTACATTTAAAATTTATTTTAAATGCAAATAATAATAATAATTATTATTATTATTTTAAATTGTATTAAAAAATATATAGCACAAATGACACAAATACTCTTCATCAATTTATTTGAAAAAGGATAGGAAAGGGCAAAAAAGACTTTGTCCACTTTGGAGTCAAGTGAATAGCGTTGCACCATATTCGGTGCAACACTACTCACTATGTACCATTTTGCACCAAAATGGTGTAAAGTATAGTGTTCCATTAGAGGTCCTTTTGCACCAAAAAATGATGCATTTTGATTTTTTGGTGTTCACTTTGGAGATGGCCTTTGCCAAAAATGTTAGCAACTTTACTTTTACCTCGGGCTATAGGTTTTCGTCAACCGTTTGAGTTTCAGCTCCACTTTTCCTCTTAATTTCCTTACAGAATGCAACCCAAAACCCTCTCCACCATGGTTCCATCACTGTCTCGATTACGAGTATGATTCGATTTTCTTAAATTGAAACATTTTTGGTACGGTCCCTTTAAATTTTTGTATGAAATATTTGTAGAAGTGTGTAGTGTTTTATTCGTGAATGAAATCTTTAGTTACACTCTTTTCAGGATGTTCACAGTTGTTTTTTTTTTTTCCGACATTAATTGGGGAATTTACAGAAAAATATATTATTACAGGATAAAAGAGGATTCAGAAGTAGTATATACTACCAAAAGATGACCTTTTCTTTTAATGGGATGGGGTTGAATGTAAAATGCATAGTCTATTGATACATACATTATATAAAGATTGATTACTTTGTTCTGATAAAAAAAAGATTGACTACTTTGGTGACGATTGAGGATGGAAGAAAAATTCTAAAAATGACCCTCAGATCTAGGCTACTGTAAAGAGAATTAGTTTAGCTATTAGTCTGTTAAGTTTAACTTTCCTTGATATTTTGCTTTTCTAATTTTCGTACATTAGACTTTTTTGAGCAGTTACAAGTTTTGTTGCTTGTGTCGCCTGTATTAGCTATAGATGGTATTTCGATTTTCTTTTTGTTTCTTAACCTATGCTCAGACTGGACATAGGTATTCGACCAAACTGATTACTAATCTAAATCATTTCTCCGACTGAGTCAATCCATTCAATCACCTCTTTCACAATAGACTCAATTTCGAGAAAAAACGAGAAACGGGTTTACTAAAATGATGAAACACTCCATCTGCATTAGTGGTCTCTACCTATAAAAGTGGTGCCTAACTCTTATACAAGAGAGAATTTTCTTGGAACACTCTATAAACTATGCTCCTAGCACACTATGTGTCATCGGTGTTCACAACTAATTTAACCATCAAATTATAACAGGTAGGCACCACTGCATCATCAAGCATACTATGTCGAGGGCAGTACACATTTTATGTTAGATTTGCATCTATGACTACAAACTAAACTTTAATTCCAATAAATTTGGGATTGACTACATGAGTATTTTGTTCCCACTCTGTCAAGGGCATTCACAAATGTAAATTTCAATGGTGAAACCTATCTCTGTTTTCCTAGTGGGTAATATATGGATGTGAATGTTCCAATAATTCAACCGGCTATGAAAAAGGGAAAATTTATTGTGTCCCCAGCCCTGCTAATAGGTGGCCACCACAGCCCTGTCAAGATAGCAAAGCTCTATGAAAAATGACACTCATTCTACTACCAGCAAGCCACTTGGCATGTATTCTTTTATATATCATTTTTAAATTTTCGACACTGAGAGGCACGCGTGTTCAGCACACCACATGTTGTGTCCAATTTTTTAATTTGCATGCACACAACTGCGATTAAAAGTCCAACATGAAGTTTCACTCCGTTGTCTCGCATTATTATATAATAATCCTATGCAAAAGTTTTGACAGTTAAATTTTCCTTATTTTATATCCCAAAATTTGAAAATTGGGGATTATAGTTTTCTAGCCCTATTAAAATCTCATAAGTGTGCATATCAATAATACATGTCTAAATTTGCTCATCAATGCCAAGATCTCTATTGGTTTAAAATCTTTGGGATATTACTCACACAATTGAATTCACCTGTCCTTCAGTGTATTCTGCGAATACAAACATGCAATACAAATAAGTAAATCACTATTTACCTCAAAAAAAGATCACTCGACCCTTGAAGTTGCATATCTATGAGAGTTGACAAGTATGATTTTATACTTATCCAAGCCATCAAAAGTGCGTGTTTGGGAATACTTTTATGAGCCAGATACTTAATTTTGTGTATTTGTTGACTATTTTAGGAGAAAAACTAGTACTGAATAGGAAACAATAAAAAGAGATGATATTTGATCAAGAAGGATAGAAGTTGGATGGCATCTAAAATCAGGGACCAAGATGTCAAGTTTGGAAGTTGAAGGACCTCCCATGCAATTAACTGAGGACTTGGCCTAAACAATGAAATTATTTAAAGGATTGAATTGAACTAGAAGTGAAACTGTGATCGTTGGGATTTATGTAAACACTATTTTATGGTGAAAATGTGAAAGGCAGAAATAATAGAGATCGATGTCCAAATATAAAACCTAAGAAGCACCGACACGGACACGAGTGTCTGACATGATACGTATCCGACAAGTCGACACGCAATTTTTCGAAAAAATTTCGACACGATACGTTATCGACATGTTGATTAAAATATTTTTTATTATTATTTAATTTAATAGTCCAAAATACATCATATATAAATAAATAAATAAATAACAAATACTAATAAAACTTTTTAGTCAAATTAAATTTTTGTACACTACTAGCTCATAATAGTATGGCACACAGTACATATGGCAGTCCAATTAATTGTGACTTGGGACCATTTCAGAAAATCCCATTTTTGTCCTTGAGGTTTAGCTGAAATTACAAATATACAAAATCAATGGTTTATTTTTGTTAAAGGGTAAAATCGAAGAAAAATCAATCGAATAGATAGTAGGAGAAGTCATTAATGTTATGGGGCCCAATACATTTGAATTGAAAGTAAACTTTTTGGGAATAATGCCACACACGTCTCTTCACTTCTTCCCCCAAAAAAAGAGTTTTCTTCCTCAACATCTTCTTCCCTGTTGTTGATCTTCAAGCCTTCTTCCGACACGCCTTTAGTTCTTCTTCACCTCGGAACTTCTTCCTCAACATCTTCTTCCTGTCTCTGATTTTCAGTTCTTCCGACAGCCTTCAGTTCTTCTTCATCTCCGAGATGTCCCCGTGGCTCGGACACGTGCTTCACAGCATAAAACCATATGGATTAGTAATTCCTAGAATAACATCAAGAAGCTCATAAAATAGAGCCAACTTAGCCCTTGTTTGGTCCCAAATTTAACTCATTTTCAACCATATATTTTATGAGACTCACAATTTTTATTAATTTTTCAATCATACATCTCATTGACCTTTATGAAAATCTATTAATAATCTGGTTTTAATTCAAACCTGTTAGACATTATGTTGTCAAACGACCTCCTGGGCGATGATGAGAACCAATTTTATCAATCGACATAAATGACTGAACGATAATTCAACATCGAATAATGGATGAACCGACCAAACGTTGCCTTACCTATTGGACGGCTAATACTCTTTGTGGCTTGTTGATTCTTTCCATTGGAAGTTAACCCTTGTCGAGCCTACTTACCATATCCCTACTTACCATATCCCGACTTACCTTATGTTGGCCACTTGACTTACTATATATATTGGTGTTTTCATCCTTGTTGAAACCGTCCATTAGTTGAACCCGTCCAAGTTGAAGCCGTGACTTAGAGGAACTGCCGTGTCCAGCCGAGTTCTTCTGCCTTCATCTCCTTCATGATTTCTTCTCCACCCCAATTGCTTGAGTCTTTGTGAACCTTACCTGAGTGGTATCCATCCTAAGTGTGTGGATTAAATCAACAAAGTAAAGGAGGAAAGCAACCATAGAAGGAAGAGGCGCCGGCGGTTCTTGGTGATTCCAATTGATGTTGAATTCGATGTTTAATGGTTAACTGAGCCCGGAAATTGTGACCAGAAAGAGGAAGATCCTAACAAAACCAAACAGGGATATAATGTCAATACAAGCCAAAATTACAGTAAAAGTTATTTTTGATGTTTCATTTTAGTATAACATAAAATACCTAGGACCAAGATGAGAACGTGAAAGATATTTAAAGAAGAGAATCTCTCTCATTATTACCTTCTGAATTTCTTCCCCGTTTCAAATCGTCCGCCGCGCTGCAGATGCCTTGGCTAAATGTATCACCAAATGTTCCCGAGATTATGACATCAAACAAATTGCCCATCTCTTTTTGTTCTTCCTGAATTTTCTTAGCTGATTCAATGTTAGTTTGTGCACACTCATATACTTCAATCTTCTGTAACGTTAAAATATCACCTAAACTGGAAGGGATCGTCTTCAGATTCCTGCAATATTCCAATACTACTCGTTCAAGTCTCGGAAAATTCTCACTTGAGGCATTCCATTCTGCAATTTTTACATCTACAAGTTTCAAGTATTTAAGTTGTGGGAATTCATCTTCACTTGTGTTCCATTGTTCTCCGCCAAAGTCAACATGTTCTAATTTGAGAACCTCAAGGTAAGGCAATCTTCCAATTATCTCCATTTGCTTTCGAGAGGCTTCCACAAAACTTAGTCTCAATTTTTTCAAACTCAAGGGCAAACTGATCAGACTGGGAGAAAAATGAAATACTTTATCTAGCTTCAGTGATTCAAGCTGATTAAGGAAGTCGAAGGAACCATTTCCAATCCAGCTATCCAGTCTGCGAAGATTGGGCGAACATCTCAAAATTTTCTCATCGATTTCATCTAAAATTCTGAGTCCAGAAATACTTTGTAGGTTATTTATTTGGAAGCTCTTACTGTTACTTGCTGGCTGACGGCTAGATTTACTGAAGTGTGCACCGCCCCAGAACTGCATGTGTCTCAAACTCACCATATTAAGAAGGATTTCAGGTATTTCAACTTCATCATCATTGTTCACAACAAGAAATTCTAGTTTGTGGAAAGGGTACCTTTCCAATGGTGGCAGTTTAGGTGAAACTTCCAAATACCTCAACTGAACCAGATGTTCTAATCCATATTGTATATTTCCTCTAAAGACCCTAAGAACTTTGTAGCCGCATGAGATTAATTTGGTAAACTTCGTAATAAAAGACTCACATAGAAGAGAGCGTACGTGTAGGCCGAAAGGTAGTGGACTATCAGCAAATTTCCCAGAGCTGATACTCAGACAATGGTGCTGCTGATATGTTGATACTTGACTGAAGAACCATTGTTCATCATCATCATAGCTGGTAACAAAACAACATAATCACATCATTGTTATGATTATCAAATATAATAACCTTCTTAGTAAGCTAAAATAAAAAATGGACTGAACCGAAAGTAAAAAAAAGAAGAGAAACATTGAACTTACTGTTCGATAAACTTCAAAAAGTTATTTTCTTCAGCTATTTTCAAGCACATTTCACGCAATAGATCATGAATCTTGCATGTTTTGACTCCTCCATCATATCTTCTTTCAGCAACAAGTACTAGGCCCCTATCAATCAGTTCCATTAGATATTCTCGTGCCACATCTTCTATGTTCTTATGTTCTTCCTTCTTTATAAATCCTTCGGCAACCCAGAAAGATATCAACCTCCGTACAGGGATCTCCATGTCTTCTCTGAATGCTCCGAAGTGAAGAAAACATGGTTTCAAATGCAATGGTAAATGGTTGTAGCTAAGTTGCAATATTTGGATGCACTTCTCTGATATTTCGGATATATATGAACTTAAATTTCTTGCAACATTTTCCCACAACTGCTTTTTCTTTTCCATGTTTGCAAGAATTCCAGCTATCACGACCACTGCAAGTGGTAGGCCATGACAGTTTTTTGCAATTTGCTTGCCAATGTCTAGCAATTTTTGAGGACAGTTTTCATCTTGGAACACTCTCTTTTGTAATATTCCCCAACATTCAACTTCCGACAGAAAAGGAAGTTCCTTTACACTACAAGGTGAAGCTTTCGAACCCACTTCTTTAATTCGAGTAGTGAATAAGATTCTGCTTCCAATACTGTCATCTGGAAAACATCTTTTCAAATCATTCCACACATCGATATCCCATATATCATCTACCACAATGAGGTATCGCCTTCCTTTTAAGTTTTTGTAAAGATCTTCAACCAAGTTTTCTTCCTTCTTTTCCATGTATGTATCCCTCTTACTGTTACTAAAGGGGTATCGCCTTCCTTTTAAGTTTTTGTAAAGATCTTCAACCAAGCTTTCTTCCTCCTCTTCCATGTATGTATCCCCCTTACTGTTACTCATTGAGCTCAAAATTTCAATCAACACATTTTTCTTATTATATATTTGAGAAACAGTACACCAGGCACGATTGTGAAAACGGTATAAAACATGGTGATGATTATATAATTTAGTTGCCAAGGTCGTCTTACCAAGTCCAGGCATCCCAAAGATGGAAATAATTTGTCGCTTGTCTGTTCCTCGAACAAGTTGTTCTACAATTTCAGTTTGTACATTGTCAAATCCCACAACAACGTCTTCCAAAATGGGAGGTTCTTTTGACTCTGACTCTACCAGCTCATGCGGATGTTTTGAAACAATTGACATTCTAACTACATCAACATTGTTCTTCGTTTCTTTGACAGCTATCATAATAAGCCGAATCTTGACAATGAGTTGAGGGAGTCGGAGAGAAAGATACCAAACATGAGGTAATGAGTTGATAACATATTCAATTTCATATGCTATGTCTCTGCTCCGTATCACAAGTTCTTCATGTTCTGCTTCGTGCTGCAATGCTATATCTGTGATGGATGATCCCAATAACATTAGCTCCTCGTGGAGCGTTACAATTTGATCATTCACAACAACAATTGAGTCAGACTTGTTATTTATCAGATCCATGAGATCGTCGAGGACGGAATCAACAATGAAGAGTGAAACCACACCAGTCTTTGGAGCCATATCACTTGGCATCTTTGAGACTGCGATGCAGTGCTCCTTGATCTTTGTTTTCAAGGTCTCAAAATTTGCTAACAAATCAGAAAGAGCAAGATCCAAGATTCCTGTCTCCACAACTTGATCATTCTTTGTGAAAATGAAGAAATCTAATAAACTTCCTATCTCACGGAGCAGGTCTTTAATATCTATCGTTGCTTTCAACTTAGTGGTTAGCAATGGTATATCCTCAAGAATGAGACTTCTTACCTCATTAACCACAACTCCCAAATCCGGCATTCTAGTATGGGCTTTTTTCACTTTATTGATCAGAATAAATACAACAATGGTCAAAAAGAAGGAAGACAAGAAACTTCCTACCCCGTTGACCACTTCTTCAACATCTATCAATAGAGTCTTGGTGGGCTGCAAATGCATTGTTGTATCCCCAAGAAAGCTGATAAGAAATCCAAGCTCTGTCCGGAGATTTTGGAACGAACCCTTTACACGAGCAATCCAATCTTCCTTAAAATGTAGGATGACTTGGACCATTAGGAGGAGAAAGTTGATGAAGGCCGCAACAACTTCATTAGAATTGGGAGTAGGAGTTAAATTGGACAAGATTTGCCGGTTAGGAACTGTAAAGGACACCTTAAGCTCTTGCTGAAGCGACACAAATTCTCGGAAAAAATTTCTGATTCCTTCAATATTTTCATAGTCTCTGCTGTCTCGTAAAGATTGAAGCAGACGTAACAAATCAATTCTATGTCCATCTGGGGAGGAGACAGATGATATGTGTTCGATCACAATTTGAAGGAGATCTATAGGAGCAGTAAACAGATCAGTGTGTAAGACATCCATTGCAAAAAAAGGAAAAGATGGTCGAATTTCAGGGAAAGAGAAAGATGGTGAAAGTGAACGTTGTCTACCCTCTAAATTTTTTGTTCAAAGCATAATAGACGCTACCACTGAAGCAAAAACAGAAAATTTAGATTAGCTCATAGCTTTGAAGCCATGGAAATGGAGGTTGTAGATCTGAAAATCAAATGAAAACCCAGAAAAGGGAAGGAAATGCAAACGTATGAAGAAGAAGACTAGTAATTATTGAGATGTGTGTTGTACTGCTCATATAAAGCAAATGTTCGATTAAGCCATTGTTTGTCAATTATTCTTTCATATTTTATCATATTATATTTTTTACTTATTTTTAATCACACATTTTTTATTAAAATAGTATTACTCAAAAGTTAAAAAAAATTTCTTTTTTTTAACCACACATTTCAACATCAATCACTATTCTATAATTTAATTTTTTAAATTAAAAAAAGACCATAAACAGGGCCTAAATTTTTTTATGATATTTTATACTTTTTAATAACATATTAATATTATGTCAGGCGAATTATTGTGGAAAAAGTGAATTCTATCACAAACGCTGTAAGAATAATTCTGGCCGAGGGCCATAGGAGGGCGTCAAATTGGCCACTGTCACTGTCACCGTCACAGTAGCATCTCTAACAAAAGTATTGTATTTTTTTTTCTCAATTTAGTGTCGAGCAGGAATAAAGAAAGAGTTTTGTACTGTGCAATGTCAAAAGTTGTCTATAAATAAGATGAAAGTGAGCTCCAAAAGTCCATTTTTACCAAAATTTGCTAAAAAAAATTAATTTTAACCCCTCCAAGTATGAGTTTATTGTCAAATTGCATGAAATGGTCGAAAGAGAAAAAACTTTGCTAAAGAATGAACTGTTGGTTTTAAGAAATAAAATTATAGAAAATTAATTGATAGTGAACAACTATGAATAATATTATTTACTTTTAAATGTCAATGTGGAAATGAGATTTTTTTTAGAGTATAAAGCTCTTTATGGGCAAAGACAGCAAATGTTTTGTTCCATGCGAATAGAAAATCGATATAGGAATTGAGAACAAGTTATTACTTCATACTTGTTCAGGCTTTTATTTTTATATGCATATATATGTTTTTAAACTTTAATTGTATTTAAAAATTATATTAGAAAATTGGGTAAATAGAGTAACGAATTCCCTATTCCTAATTTCCTACCCTCTACCAAAGAAAATTCAACGCGACAAAAGACAATGAAAACCGCCTGCCGTATTGAAATCATTTTATGAGTTGGAGAATTTAATCTTATAAAAATAATTATTATTTATTTACATTTTTTCAATTGTAAAGACCATATTCAACTTGACTATTTGTCTAGTTCTTCAAAAAATTGAGCAAATGCTTGTTTGAAAAAGATTAAAAAGTCGGGATCAAAAGTAACAATTAATGCTAAGGCAATTCTATTGCCACCACAAATTTTACTTGCTACACACATCAAAACAACATGTTTCTAATAAAAATACCATAACAAATTTATAATTATAGCCTTAACCCAATAAAAACTGAAAATGAAAAAAAAAAAAAATAATAATAATAACAATGTACTCTCCTTCCCAAAATTACTCCTCATTTTCCCCCATCCATTCTTCCTCATCAATTTCCTTCATCCATTGGCTCAATTATTTTTTGGACATGAAATATCAACATTTTATGTGCAAAGATCCACGAGCCATTTTGGACAAGGTAGGATATTTGGGGCTCACATATTGCCATCAAGATAGCACGCTGAAATTTTTGCTCCAAGGCACGACAGGTTCTTCCAAGTAGCATTCAAGCTTTTATCTAATGGTCGAGATCGACTATCAGATTGGATAAACTGTTTATACTCATCTAAGCAATTAAAACCAAAGTTTGGGAGTTGGCATCTTTCTTTGATGTTTGTAGGAATCTCTTCTTCAAACTCAGAATTCGAATCACTCATAGAATATTCTTCTCTAGTTTTACTAGTAACATAATCATCATAAGGCTAGTGAATGGACTTTGAAATGGCTGTCACTTCCGAGATACTATAACTAGTATCATACTTCAAGGAAGAAAATTCAATATACTTCATTTTATATTGCGGATCCAAAACTGTAACAACGGTTAGTACAAGGAACATGTTCTTCCAGTACTTCTCAAACTTCTTTAGCGTCCTCCGAGCTATGATTCTAACAAATTTATCTGAATTTCTAGATTCTTCTATCAAACTTGCTTGTAATTCTTGAAATTTATGAACATAGATGCCCGCACTAGCATGTTTTGTCTCGAAAAAAAATCAGCAACATCATATACATTTTGGACAAGTTTACAAATATCTCTTACTTTTTTCCAGTCTTCAGCAAATGAGATATCACGATCCTTGCATTGATCCATTTCTAAATACCGTCCTTTAGCCTCCAAATCCAATACCTTTTGCAGGTTGTATAATGGCATATTCCACAATAACGACGAGTTTCCAAGAAGAATATAGCGAACTTTTAAAATAATACATTCAATATTCCAAAATGCCTATGTCATATCCTAAAATTTCTTGTTCTTTTCTTCAATCTTGGATCTTTTGATCTTGGCATTTGTATCTTTAAGTAGGAGTTATGTATTTTTTGTGTACTGATGGTAGTGATCGTATGAATAAATATATTAGTGAGTCTTGGATCTTTTGATCTTGGCATTTGTATCTTTAAGTAGAGTTATGTATTTTTTGTGTACGGATGGTAGTGATCGTATGAATAAATATATTAGTGAATAAAAGATAGGGTACTTATGTCATTTTACTAGTAATTTTTTAAAATAAATAAGAAAATTATAGGGTACCAAACACTTATTGTGGTGATAATATAACCACCCTTTATATTAATCTTACATTACATAAAATCCACTAGTATTACTCGCTTTTCCACCACTAATTTCAAAAGATCTTCCACTTCTTTTAACAAAATCAACTGTTTAACTTTCCCAAACAAGCACTGAATGTCAATGTAAAAATGACTCGATTTTTTTAAGATTAGAGAAGCTGTTTATAGATCAATTTATCTTGATCTACTTTGGTTCATTTTTTATTGTAAAAAGCACATTTGAGTAGAACAAACTAATCCTCACTCAACTTAATTAGTAGATCTTATACTTAACGCCGGTTTGACAAGACTTCTACTCCTTGTAAAAAAGTTATCATTTTCCTTCAAAAAAGCTCATCAAATCAGACAAAACTTTTTCCAAAAATGCATTCTTCTGTGATATTCACAACTCAATAACATATTTGAAAAGTTATGAATATCATAAAGTACTTGATTTAAATCAATTATTGACTCCGACTTTGGTAAATATTTAAATTTTAATTCCCCATTACTGACATTTGCTTTATATGAGCTGTATAGCACACTCTCCTCAATAATTACTAGTCCTCTTTCTTCATCTATTTACATTTGCTTTCCTTTCCTAGATTTTCATATAATTAACTTTAATTGTCATGTCAATCACCTAGGACGTTCAAGGTATAATCCACTACAATATATTAGTAGTCTCATTGACAATAAATTAATAATAAGCATTAAATATATCATTAGGCAATATCATATTCGCAAAAATTAGGAAAAGAGAAATGTGATGTTACAAGTTAAAATTAAATTTTTAATAAATTTTGATAAAAATTGATACAGTATATGATTAAAAACTTATGAATGTCTTAAAATACGTGATTTAAATGAATTATTGACTTTGACTTTGACAAGGATTTAACAGACTATTTGATTTGGATTAAAATCTGATTTTAATCTAAGTTAAAGTCAAACAATCAACACTAATCACATCTTTTATAGGTTCCACAAATTTTCAACTACACATTTTAACAACTTCTATCACAATCTACTAAAAAATCTAATTTTTATCCCCACCAAATACCCTCTAAAATTTTAATTCCCTCTTATCGACATTTGCTTTATATGAGCTTTACAACACTCTATCCTCAATAATGGAAACTTGGTTCATTGGAAAAGTAAAAAATGCATAGCTTTTGTTTGGAACAATACGTGTTCACATTTCAAGATAGGGGTAAACTTGGAAGTTGACGCCCCCGGGGCATAACTCAGTGGTGCAAAAGATAGAAGTGAGATAGTCTCAACTTTGTTGGCAGCCGCAGTGTAAGGGGTCGATTCCTGATATGTGGAATCGGATTCCTTGTGAGCACCAGTGTACGGACAAGCTCTTGTTCCCTGACCTGTTGGGGCACATCCCGCAATTTACCTTCCTCACGATACTCCAAGGGCGAGGCAGTGAAGCCCCTCAAGGTTGAGGTTTAACCTTTTTTTAAACTTGGAAGTTGACCATATATATGCATAACACCATTTAGACTAGCTTTCACATGGTGGGCCACATGATGTGATAGAAGAATGCATTTTTTCCACAATAATGGCACCCAAACGTGCATTTTTTCCACAATAATGGCGCCCAAACGTTAGCTTTCACATGGTGGACCATGTGATGTGATAGAAGAATCCATTTTTTTCTACAATAATGGACGTTTGGGCGCCATTATTGACGTGTGGGCATCATTAAAATGCATTCTTCTATCACATCACGTGGCCCACCATGTGAAAGCTAACGTTTGGACGCCATTATTGTGAAAAAAATGCATTCTTCTATCACATCACGTGGCCCACCATGTGAAAGCTAGTCCAAATGGTGTTATGCATATATATGGCCAACTTCCAATTTTACCCCTATCTTGAAATGTGAACGCGAATTGCTCCAAACAAAAGCCATGCATTGTTTCTTTACTTTTCCAAGTTCACTTTAACTAATCATCGTCAATTGGGTATCAGAAATAAGAAATAAAGAAACAAAGCTGCCAGCCTAGGGTATAGATCCCCCACGATAAAGGTTTTGTACTGTGCAACGTTTAAAAATTGTCCATAAATAAGATGAAAATGAGCTCAAAACATCAATTTTTATCAAAATTAAACTAAAAATTTAATTTTAACCCCCTCCAAGGATGAGTTTATTATCAAATTGAATGAAATGGTGGAGAGAGAGAGCTCTGCTAAAGAATGAAAGGTTGGTTTTACGAAATAAAATTATAGAAAATTAATGTCTCAAATAACAAACTTTCACGTAAAGCAATTACTAATAGTAAGCAACTATGAATAATCTTATTTACTTTTAAATGTCAATGAGGAAATGACTTTTTTTTTTAGAATATAAAAAGCTCTTTATAGGCAAAGACAGCAAATGTCTTGTTACGTCCCACCGAATAGAAAAT